CACTTCTCCCAGGAGTCCATCGTGTAGCCAGCGGCAAACGGAGGAAGCACACATGCTTTGTTTCTTTTTTCTTTTTTTTATGTTTCAAATCAGTCCCAATGTTTTTCCTAAAATACATCACAATGGACTAGATCCTTGCTATTTTGATGTACATTATGTGACCACCATCTCTTGCTTTAGCTCTTAGTAATAATTGAGGATATTCTGTGCTTCTCTATCTCACATCCAGTCCTAAAACATTTGTATAGATTACTGCTCATTATTAAACATGCTCCCTGGTTACACTTGTGTCTCTGAAACACAGAACAAACAACTTTTTTTAAGGCACTTACAGTGAAGCACTATCTCCCCAGTTTCTCCTCTCTCTTCCTAGCTATTAAATAAAAGCATAAAATGCCCAAAAGTTCAAAGTTAGACTAACAAAGAGAGCAAGCTCAAATCATCTGTTACAAGCAGGTGTGTTGGTGTGTAACATTGTTTGTGTCACAGGTTCATCCCAGAGTCTCCACGGTGGCTCATCTCTCAGAAGAATTCCTCAAAAGCTTTGGAGATCACTGAAGCTATGGCGAAGGAGAACAAGAAGAAACTCTCCAAGAACTTTGACGTAAACTGATTCAGTAGTTTACTTGGTATCTCAGTTTCCCTTTGTGATCTACTATATAATAATAATAAGAATTTGTATTAAAGGTCCAGATTGTAACATTTAGGAGGATCGGTTTGGCAGAAATGGGATATAATTTTGCTAGGCATGTTTTCATGAGTGTATGATTACCTGAACCTTACTTTAGAATTAGCTGTTTTATATGCAGACGACACTGGCTTTAGTTTTTCCTTTTAACTTGGAAGGGACGGTTGAAGCGAGGGAGAACTACGCCACTAGATGCCACTAAAACCTGCACACTAGTCCTTTAAGATCCTTGCTTATTGTCACAGCTGTATCATGGTTTCAGACACTGGCTGAAGATGAGGCTGACTCCCCCTCTGCCTCTCTGCTGGACCTGGTCAGAACTCCGAATATGAGAAAACACACTTTCATCCTCATGTTTAACTGGTGAGACTCACCTAAAACCACAGATTTGTTGGCCAAACAAGCCCCTAAATGTTTAATCTCTGCAGGTTCACCAGTGCTGTGGTCTATCAAGGCCTCATCATGCGGGTGGGAATAGCAGGAGGAAACATCTACATCGACTTCCTCATCTCTGGCCTGGTGGAGTTCCCTGCCGCTTTCCTCATCCTCTTCACAATTGAACGTGTTGGTCGGCGCCTCCCCTTCGCCACCGCCAACATCGTAGCTGGAGCCTCCTGCTTGATCACTGCCTTCATCCCTGACAGTGAGAAGAACTCCTTATTCTTTGACCATGTCCGTTAGGGATGTTTCAACACACTGGAATCAGTTTTTTTTTTTAAATAAGTAAGTTTGGTTTGGTTTTATTATGTCATAAATAATGCAATGCAATGGTTTCTGGTCTCTTTTAATGAAAAGTACTGTTCTCAAATTTTGGGAACTGTGTAAAATCTGATAAGTCACTTGAGTGTGCAACAGTCAGTGCTGAGAACTGCAAGTATGAATCTGAAAAAAATATGTGGGTGTGGAGCTCATCAGACCGCTCCTCATCCCTGCTAAAGGCCAGCGGCTCCAAACTACATAGCTGCTGCTAGGCTAACACACCTGAATCTCCAATGGAAGTGGCCCCAGGTGACAAGGAATATTTTGTATCCACACCTCAGGTATGCTCTGGTTTAAGACGTTGGTGGCCTGTATCGGTCGGTTGGGTATCACCATGGCCTTCGAGATGGTGGTGTTTGTTAACACCGAGCTCTACCCAACATTTGTCAGGTGAGGTCAGACTGATCAGCTCTACTCTCACATTCATCCCACGGTAGCTCTAAAATACCCAGTGTAATTCCAGGAACCTGGGAGTGTCAGTTTGTTCCTCACTGTGTGACGTTGGCGGCATCGTGGCTCCCTTCCTGCTCTACAGACTGGCTGACATCTGGCTGGAGCTGCCCCTCATCATCTTTGGTGGGTATCTGACATGTTATGCATGATGGCTGGGATGATGTTGAAGAAACCGTGTTAGTGATGTCATAAGGCTGCTGGACTGAAAGTCTGACAGACAACCTGTTATTCTGAAATCAAACGTCCGTTGCTCCGAAAATACACACCACCAAATATCAATTCAATTCAATTCAATTCAATTCAGTTTTATTTGTATAGCGCCAATTCATAACAGAAGATCTCAGGACACTTTTCAAAATAGAGCAGGTCTAGACCGAACTCCATAAAACCACTGCATCTTTATGTTATAATATTTACTAGTAAAGCACTAAACTTGTAATAGCACTGTCTTTTTTAAAATAAATCTGTAACTGAGTCAGAGTTTTTAAATCTCCACGCTGTGTTTCACACAGGAGTGGTTGCGTTCATCGCTGGAGGTTTGGTGTTGCTGCTGCCTGAAACCAGAGGAGTTCCTCTCCCCGACACCATTGATGATATCGAGTTTCCTCATAGGTGAGATACATCCCCACTCTCCCAGAAAGTTTAATGAAATGTTTCACACAGTACTTATTCTTGTTCCTCCTCAGGAGTGGTGGGTAATAAGTAGAAAATGACCAGTGGCAGTACAAGTGAAGAAGGAAGAATTAGCAGAAAATAGAAATACACGTAAATTAGAAGTACCTCAAAATTGAACTAAAATACATTTATGTGTAGATTTTGTTACTTTCCACCACTGTCAAATGTGTTTATTATATTTGTCCTTTAATAAAGTAACTGATGCCTAATTTTGGAGTAACATTACAAAGAAATGAAGTAATTGATTCACTTGAATTAAGGAGGTGTTAATAGAAAATGTATGTTTTTGTTCCCAGGAAAAAGGAAGATGTAGTGGAGAACTTACAAATGAAGAAACTTTTAAAATCAGACCTGACAAACAACAAGGAAACAACAACTGTGTGACTGTGTTTGTGTCAATGCATGTGTATGTACTGTAGATTTCCTTCACTGTAATACAGTATATTGACCTCCACTAAAAACAACGTAGGCTTTTTTTATACATTTTCTATAAAGCATGGCTTCCCAATTTCTTTTGTATTTAGTTTTATTTTTCAGCTCTTACAGAAAACACACCTTTACATCCCAAAAGCAGTAATATGATCTGCTTATAGTGCTTCCACCACAGGAAACAAATCAAATAATACCAGGCTGCAAACACACACATACGCTGTATCTTCAAAAAGTACAATGAATGGTGACTTTTCTGAGACTGGTCACATTTAACGCTACTTTATTTGTTAAAGGTGGATAGTTTTTAATTGGCTTTGATTGTTGTGTCAATCCAGTCGATAAACTTGGAGACTCGAGCATAGACGCCGGGTTTCATGGCGTTGGCACATCCCAGACCCCATGATGTCACACCCTGTAGGACAAACCCCTGCTGGGTATTACACACCAGAGGACCGCCGCTGTCACCCTGCAGGGACAAAAAACAGACGTGAAGCAGAATGTATTTTCCAACTTGTACACATTTGGTGCATTAGATGGTTTTCAGTTCAACTTCTGCCAAAACCAGGCTGGAAAAGAACCTCAATAAAAAAGGAAGGCAGAGCACGTTTTTTTTATCCCCAGCCCCCATCTGGAGCCACAAACGACTTTATGTAACTAGCTTTAATCAAGAAATATTAATTCATTATTAATTAATCATTGCAAACTTGTTGAATTATATGTTAGCATGAAGACAAATGTAACATGTTCAGGTGGACCTGTCAGGATTACACTAGAAATGAATTGAACCCCTTGAACAATGAGTCTATTTTTATCTATAATTTGTACCCAATCACAAGCAAAGTGAGTTACCTAAGAATTACAGACCTGTAAATTAAAAAGTTACTGTATTAAGAAAGTCCAGTTTCTGTATTTTTCATACCTGGCAGCTGTCTGTTCCTCCCTCGATGTTTCCAGCACACATCTCGTGGTCTTTCACTCTGCCGTTCAGGTAGGATGGACGATTACAGACCTTGTTCTCGATCACAGGGAAACCGGTTTCCTTCAGGAGGCCGTCACCTCCCGTACCTGCAACACACCTCCAAGCTGTTAGCAAGCATCCTCCTCTTCCTCCTCGTTATCATTACCTTCATCAGTACAGGATTTCCCTTCAACTGGGGAATTTTGAAGAGGCATTGCGTTGCAGTTTAGGAATTTTCCAGTTGGGTTGTTTTACCAACTCATTCTACACATTCAGAGTATCAGATCCAGTGTGTTAGCATGGATTAAATATTCTATTACCAGTGTTGGGAAGTAACTCATTACTAGTTTCCCCAGTAACTAGTAGTGTAACTAATTACTAATATATTCAGTTTGTTTTCTATTTTGAAATCCAACAATCCAATCACATCCTCAGTTTCATTTTGGTAATCGTGGAGGAAACTAGCTAGAAGATGGAAACATTTAGTGGCTGAAAATATTCCCATTTCTTTACTGTTTTTAATTTTAATAATAATATATATAATAATCTGAATTCATTTATGGTATCAGAAAATTAATATATCCTAGTAGTGGAGCTAATTACTGTTGGCAGGGAGTAATAAGTAAAGTAATACAAGTATGAATAAAATAAATGAATAATGAGTAATAAATTAAACCTTTTGAGTAACTAGTCCAACACTGTCTATTACAATAAAATATACAATTTAATCTCTAAATATCTCATTTAAAAGGTACACACTTTAATACGAAGCAGCATGCAGTCCACTACAAAATCACCCTCAAACAGCAACCGACCAAATGGGGTCTCTTTTAATACAACACATAATGAACTGTACCTTGAGTTTCACCCCATCCGGTAACGTAACACTCGGTTCCACTGGGAACAGTGTAGTCTTTCTCTGGCAGACAAGCTGGTAGCACTTTGTCATTTATTAGTACAGGGCTGAAAAACACAAGACAGGAAACACACACTAAGGAAATCAGTTTCAGTGGTAATAATTATTATTAAATACTGATTGATAACGAAATCTCTAAAACATCACACAAATTGCCATCACAAGCTCAATCTCATGTCATCAAAGTGTTTTTTTAGAACAGAAATACAAAAGAAATACATCAAATATTTAATTTACAGTTACATAAATAAAATGTAAATAAAGTTTGAAAAGCTGTGCACAGCAAATGTGAAGTATTACGGTTGTAAAAGATGAATATTCTTCAATTTGCCAAACCCCACACTCTTAGTTACTGTTGTACAAAACAGGCTTATAATATAGAGCAAATAAAAAAAATATTTGTATTAGGAGGAGGATTAGTCCGGTACTTACGTCTGCAGTTTGAGCAGAGCGATGTCGGCTCCGTTGGGTCCTAACACCAGTTTCTCCAGGTTCCTCTCTTGTTTGGACGGCTCGCTGGCTCTCTCTGTGTGGATCCCCAGGAGCACCTTGTAGGCTGAAGGTCGTTTGGACCTACAGTACACAACGCATTTATAAAGAACACACATTATACAGTGGAAGTTACTACAGGATTTGATCTTTAGATGTTTTTTAATCTACTGTCTGACCTCTCCAGGCAGTGTGCGGCAGTAAGGACCCACTGAGGGTGAACCAGAGTTCCTCCACAGAAATGAATCCCCGTACTCGTAGAAAGAGACAGACAGAAATGTATTTAAATAGGACAGAAGAAACAAACCCAGCTGACATAATATAATATAACTTTTTAAAATATCAGATATCCGTTAAAACTTTACAGATAAACCCCCCCTGAGATACAGCATCTTGTTTTCAAAGAGGACTCAAAGCCATTAGCGGACATCAAAAGTAAAATAAAGGAAAACATAAAATAAGAAAACAATGAATATAAATATAAGTCCCTTGGAATCATATGCTCGTATTGTTCAACTCACTTGGTTCGGAGGCTGATTTGCCAGGGCCATGAGTAAGGTTTAGACACGCAGCCTCCCACAATACGTCCAAAGCAACGCTTTGGTTTGGTGACTGGCGTGCCACACTTAAGTCCAGCTAAAGAGAAAGGAGTGAAACACAAAGTGACTTTGTTTGAATCAATCAGTATCAGTCAACAAGACGTAACATGTACTGTCTTACAAGCAGCCTCAGAAGCTGGTGCTCATTATACTTGAGATAGCTGAATTATTGGATGGCCAACAAGTGGATGCTATTATTGGTGGCTGTCTGCAGTTTAGGTCAAAAAGCCTGTTGCCTCCATGTTAGCAGATGAGACATGGTCCAAACTAATCAAATCAAAGTACAGGTTTCTGTCATTTTATGTAGTTCTTATCACGCTGATGTTTGTTCAAGTGTTAATTTTTCTGCAAAGTTTGTTTTTTAATTAGTTATTTGAGGCTATAAAAAGGGGGTGTCACATGCCGATGGATGGAACTAACAGTTATTTCCATTATCTATTAATCAGGTTATTTTCTCTATTAATTGATGAACCGTTTAGTCTAGTGTCACAGTAAAAAAGTGTCACAATTTTCCAAGGCCAACAGTAAAGTCCTCAAATTGTTTATATTGTCTGACCAACCGTCCAAACCTCAAAGAGACTCTATTTACTATCATCAACTGTCTGGACACAGGTTGTCATTTACAATTGGTTATGGACTATGAATGTGTGTACCTAATTCAATGATGATCCATAGTATGCAATATTTTTTCTCAAGCCACGTGGGTAGAGTGGTTAAAAAGTTAAATAATTAACTGTAATGTCCTACGCATACATACCACAGTCGGGGATCTGACAGTAGTCCCACTTCTTGTTCCTGTCAGTAGTGTAGCACCACGGCCCGTTAACGTCGTTATCTGGGTTTCTGCAGCTCTGACAGTGACACACAAGGAGAGAATCAACAAATTGGAAACAAATATAATGATTTACTAGCTTCTGACATTAAATCCGACAGGAAATGCCAATACTCCAAAAGTCTGCACCTCCAAATGGTTCCTATAGGAATACACACACTTACATTGCCATCCAGACCCTTGGTGGGGTGCGACTGTGGAGTGAAACTGTTGTGTTGGTGAGGGGTCTGAGCACTCCAAGCCTGGCAGGTCACGCCCAGAATGGTGATGGAGGTTGGACCCCGGTATGTTTCTCCATTTCCAATCTTACAGTCTAGCACAGCGACAGATAAACAAGTAGGTAAATAAACGATAAAATAAACTGGCAAGCAAGCTTAAAACACATTTTAAAATAATAATTTACCTTCCTGCGGTGTGGTCTGGGTGGCAGCGGTGGACTCGGGGGACTGGGGGGACTGGGGGGACTGGGGTTTAGATGGTCTGGTGGGTGATGCCTCCGTAGGATTTGTGCCACATTTCTCCAGGTTGCAGTACTCCCAGCGAACTCTGGGGTCTGTGGTATAACACCAGGGAGCTCGGTCTCCATCAGGGTTCCTGCACAGATTCCTCCTGAGGTCCCTGTTGAAAGAGAAAACCTGGAACTTCAGGACAGCAGGAACCCACATCCTACAAGGTTTTGTATTTTAACTCCAAGAATCAAACAAGGTAAGGAGCTAATGATCTCTGCTGGTTTGTAAATCTCAACTGATTTATGAGCTCAGTAAACAGCTTCCTAATGAGTTTATGGTCTCAATCTCTATTTTAAAGTATTTTTCCAAACAGCACGATGTTCATTTAGTAAATTATGGTTCCATTTAGACAACAGACAATAAAGCAGGCAAGTATGCTTTAGGGCAGCGCTACCAGGCAGTGCTGATGAATACAAGACTGTGTGTGAGCAGGCGAGCTTTTCTGTTGAAAGAAAAAACTGAAACATCTAGGGTATACCCTGGGTTTATCCTTTAATACATGTGTTGGATTTGTATCCTAGATAGTCAGCTGGGGACCTGAGGGCCAAATATGAGCCAGATACAGGGCATAGTGTTGCTGCCAGATTTTAGTGCTGTTTTTGGGACATCTAGCTCGAGTTGTGCCTCAGCGTCTGTACCTAGAATCGGACCAATCCTGGCATCACACATTCATCACAAAGCTGTTGGGTCTGGCAAAAACCGACATGGCAGATATAAACCGCTGTGGGGCCATGACTTTTTGTCTACTACTGCCTGTTTTCAAACCATCATAAGCGTAATTATTCTTTTATTGTATTTGGCTGCTAGGAATTCACTGTGTTGAGTACTAAAGAAGCAAGATTGTCAAAATGGCCGCCCCTCTTCAACAAGCTTTATAATGTACTATTTACAGTTTAAACTCTGGTTTTCATGAATTCCCTGTGCCTGAAATCTGCTGTTTTGAATACAGAATGCGTTAGTAGACAGGAATTGATGCGCACGCTGCCGGCAAGTTCTGAGGAGTTTTGTTGTGGCTGTGAGGAGTCATCAAGTTCCAGTTTTGACATCTTTTTCCACTGATCGTCTCTGATGTTATGCCACGGTAACTCGTCCCGTCCCCCAGGTAACAGTCATCCTCCTCTGGGGGGATCACGGGCTCGTCTGCAGCAGGAGACAAGAAATCATGCTGGGTCATTGATGCATTCTTATACGCACTCTTTTCTAGTCATTAACATTACTGTAACATTCATTTAACCATCGATCAATAATCATTGTTTTTGCTCTTTTTTCAAAGTACATGAACAGATTACAGAACACTGCTGAGCAGGTATATAAATCATGATACCGCTACTGCAACTGTAATAAATCCTGAATTAAGTGCAGCTGTTTCTAAAGTGGACTTCATCATCCTCGTTGATCACTGTTATACCTGGTCCAGCTCCATTCTCACAGGTCGGCACTCTGCAGTACTCCCAGCGAGTTTCGCTGTCAGTTGTGTAACACCAGGGCATCCTCTCATTGTCGGGGTTACGACAGTAGTTGTTATCTAGGCCTCTGACAAACAATAGACAGTAATATGATGATGATCACAGGTAAATAAGGGCAACATGCTTATGAATATGCTTCTGGCTTCCTCTAAGGACTTAATTTACACTGTTTTGTTTCCGGGGAGTTTTTGTGCTCACGACCTGCCTGATCTGGTGCGATATTGTATAAAAGCAAGATATATTGTTAACTTGTATGAGCATATGTAATAGAGTGCTGCAGGAATGAGTCCTAAACCCTGGAAATAAGTTTGCATTTAGCACTTCCCTTAGGCAACATTATTAGGAATCACTACCCAGTTATATCTATCAAGCCTGATG